TTAAATAAATTATCTCCATTTCTTATAGTTAAAAGTTATTAATAAATACATTACATTATTGGCGACGAGTAACGAACTTATGCAGAGTGTTGTATGTACTGGAAATTTTACGAGACTTTGGTGAGATTTTAATGACTATTATTTCTGTCAAATTGTGATTCGTCTTGACTGAGTTTAAGTTTTTTTTTTTTTTGGGGGTTTTTCATCATTTTCGTTGAATGAATCATTTATAATTAATTATTCGTACCTACATCTTGAGGACTTTTGAGGTAGATGAACGTTTTCTCTGAAGAATGGCGTTTATTGGAAATATAGAAACGTTCAACCCTAAGGAAACGGAAATTACAGCCTATATTGAGAGGCTTGAACAGCTCTTTATGTGCAATGATGTAGCCGAGAAAAAAAAAGTTGCTATGCTACTGACTTTTGTAGGAGGAGAAGCATATAGTGTATTGAAGGATCTATTAGCGCCAACATTACCAAGTCAGAAAACATATGCTGAATTGATACACCAACTAAAAAGACACTATAGTCCTAAACGATTAATTATTGCCGAAAGGTATAAATTTCACACAGCACACCAAGAATCAAATGAAGATATAAATCATTTTGCTGCTCGTTTGCAAAATCTTGCCAAGCATTGTGGCTTTGGAGATTTTTTGAATGATTCATTAAGGGACAGATTAGTCTGTGGACTCTTGTCAGATAGTATCAAGCGTAGACTTCTTACTGAAGTTGGGTTAACTTTCGAACAAGCATATACTACAGCTATTGGAATGGAACTAGCAGAGGGACAATTGAAGGCCATGGGGCCAGATTTAAGTCAAGTCAACAAGATTTACCAAAAACCAAACTTTCAAGGTCCAAACCTAAGTCCAAAAAATAATAGGCCTAAGGTAATGGGTCAGTTTAGGGCAAATTTTGGTTCAACAAATAATGCTGCATCATTCAAAAACCAGACATGTAGGAGATGTAGTCGTAATCATTTTAACAATAATAACTGTCCGGCTATTTCCTGGAAATGCTTTGCTTGTGGACAAATAGGCCACACAGCCCGATCCTCAATGTGCCGGAACCGTATCCAGGAATTGGAGGAAGTACAAGCAAATACTGAAGATTGTGCCAGGACAGATGATTCCGATGATCATTTAGAATTAGGTATGTTATCAGAAGATCTTGGTGAGTGTACTATTAAATCATTGAAAACTAAAGTGGCTGATATTTTAAAGGTTAGTTTGATGTTAGATGGTCATAGAGTGGAAATGGAGGTAGATTCAAGGGCGGTTCGTACAGTTATGCATGAAAAAGACTTTAAAAAACTATTTTCCAATCTAGTTTTGGAACCAGTTAATTTCAATTTACGTGTTCTAACAGGTCAAAAAGCGGAAATTTTAGGACAGGTTTTCATACACGTAATATACTTAAATAAAATGTTTTGTTTGCCTCTAGTAATTTTAAAATCTGAAACACTATTTATTCCTCTTTTGGGCCGTAATTGGTTAAACATTCTTAATGTCAATTGGCACAGTAGTGTTTTAGACAGAAGTGTAGTTGTAAATAAATTAAGTTATGTTGAATGTTTTAATAAGGAAGTTGAGTCTAGTAATGTCAGACAGAAGTTGGTCTCCTCATTAAAGTCAGATTTCCATAATCTTTTTGTTGATGAACCTTATACCTTCATCAAAAATTTTAAAGCTGAATTTAAAGTTAAAGAGGGGTGTAAGCCTATCTTTCATAGATCCTATGAAATGCCGTACTCTTTGAAACCCAAAGTTGAACAAGAGCTTTTGAAAATGGTAGATTCAGGGGTGTTATCAAAAGTAACTCACAGCAGATGGGCTAGTCCAATTGTTATTGTACCCAAGAAAAATTCGAACGATATAAGACTTTGTGTTGATTTCAAAAAAACCATTAATAGGGCAATAGATAGCGAACATTGTGTTTTACCTTTAACATCAGATATATTTGCTAGTCTTAGTGGAGGAAATTATTTTTGTGTAATAGATTTGAAGGGAGCTTATCAGCAGCTGCAAATAAGCGAATCTTCCAAAGAGCTTTTTACTATCAATACTCATATTGGTCTTTTAGGTATAACAGGTTAACATATGGAATAAGTTCAGCACCTGGTATCTTTCAATGTATAATGGATGCAATTTTATCCAATTTATCAAAGACTAAGTGTTACCTTGATGATATAATAATACATGGGTCTAATTTAGAAGAATGTCGTAAGAATGTAAGGAAAGTTTTAGAAAGGTTAAGGGAGTTTAATGTCAAAATAAATGAGCAAAAGTGTAAATTTTTTGAACAGTCTGTTGAATTTTTGGGTCATAAAATAGATAATCAAGGTATACATCCAACAAATGAGAAATTAGAGTGTATTCAAAAGGCACCTTCACCTCAAAACGTAACTCAACTAAAATCATATTTAGGAATTTTAAACTATTATGGAAAATTCATCCACATGTTGTCCGCCAAACTTAAGCCATTGTATAATTTGTGTAAGAATAGCACAGAATTTCTTTGGACGGATGAGTGTGAACGAGTATTTCAAGAAAGTAAGACACTATTGTCTTCAGATGATGTTCTCACTCATTTTGATCCTACCAAGCCAATTTTTATCACTTGTGATTCCAGTGGATACGGAGTAGGAGCCGTGTTGAGTCATAAAATTGATGGAAAGGAGAGGCCTGTTCTTTTCGCTTCAAGTACTCTAACTGATGTCGAACAAAGGTATTCAAATTTGGAACGCGAAAGCTTAGCCATAATCTTTAGTCTAAAAAAATTTCATAAATATATATTTGGCAGGAAATTTACTTTGATAACAGATCACCAACCATTACAATTTATATTTGGTAAAAATAAAAGTATTCCCGTTACAGCAGCAGCACGCATTACACGTTGGGCTATATCTTTATCTGCATACGATTATGATATTGTGTATAAAAAAGGGACTTCAATTTCAAATGCAGATGGTTTGTCAAGGTTACCTATGAAAACAAATACGGATATAACTGATGCTATTTTTTCATTCAACTTAACTTACGAAGTTCCACTAGATTCCACCCATATAGCGACAGCTACAAAAAAAGACATTATTTTATCGAAGGTTCTAGATTTTACTCTTTCTGGTTGGCCAAATTTCATAAACGATGTTAATTTGAAACCATATTTCAAAAGAAGATTAGAATTTTCTGTAGAAATTGGGTGTCTGTTAGCGGGAAATAAAGTGGTTATTCCAAAACAAATGCAGAAGGAGATTTTAAATTTGTTCCATGAACAGCATTTGGGTATTGTTAGGACAAAGATGCTCATGCGGTCTTATTGTTGGTGGCCTGGAATGAATGAGGATATAGAATCATTTATAAGTTCATGTGCTGTCTGTCAGGAAACACAAAATTTTTCTAATAGCAGTACTCTTTTACCGTGGCCAAGTGCACCCAGTAACTTCTATAGAGTCAATATTGATTTCTTTTATAAACATAATTATATTTTTTTAATTTTAGTTGATAACAAATCTAAGTGGGTAGAAGTGAAATTAATGCAAGATGGCACTAATGCGAAAGAAACTATTTTAAAGTTAAAAGAAATTTTTTCAACTTTCGGGTTACCTAGAGAACTTGTATCAGATAATGGACCTCCTTTTTCATCAATTGAATTCAATGCTTTCTGTCAGGCAAATGGAATCAAATTTATAAGAAGTCCACCATATCACCCACAAAGTAACGGAATTGCCGAGAGATCAGTTCAAACTGTAAAGAAAGGTCTAGATAAATCCTTGTTTCTTGAAAAGGGGAGGAGTATTGATAAGAATACTATTTTAAATCGTTTAGAAAACTTTTTATTTGTGCATAGAAATACACCTTCCACTTCAACTGGATTGTCACCAGCTGAGAATTTATTCAAATTTCGACCTCGTACTCGGTATGACTTGATAAAGCCTTGTGCAAATCAACAAGCTAAACTTAGGTCTGACATTGCTAGAACACTCAAACTTTATTCTGAGAATGACATTGTATATGTTAAAAATGCTCATACTAAATTATGGCAAAAAGGTAAAATAGTTAGGTGTATGAGCTATTGTACTTATCTTGTGCAAGTTTCTGATAGTATTAAGCTTGTACATGCAAATGACATTCGTAACTGCAGTGCAATGTATCCGGAAGTGACCAATAACAGAAATAACGTTACTAGTATAAATGATAGACTGGATATACCAAATTCACCAAATGTGACTGTTCCCATTGTGTCTATAAATAATTCCACAGTATCTGGAAATGTATCTCAAACAGAAGTCGCGGAAGTACCAGTGTCCACAAACTATAACTCTGATCTAGGTCAACCTAGTAATAATCAGTCTAATGTCTATACTAGAGAATCAAATACAAAGTTTCAAAATTCTCCGAAAGCAGTTGTTGTCCCTGTTACTACTCCGACTTCTAGATCTAGATATGGTAGGTCAATTAAACTACCAGTTAAACTTAATTTGTAAGCTTTTTTAATTAAGGGAAGAATTGTAAGATATTGATCTTGATAAGGTTTGGCCAAACATAGATGTTTGCTTAACATAGAACTTTATTTAGGTACTTGAGTGCTCCTGTAATTTCATGCTACCTGCTACCTTTCATGTTTAGAGTTGTCATAGTTGATTGTCAGATTTTAGATTGTTTTAAATAAATTATCTCCATTTCTTATAGTTAAAAGTTATTAATAAATACATTACATTGATATTAGGTCTGTTTCTGCAGAAATACCAAATCAGTCAGAGCAAATTTCATTGGTTAATAATAGTTATAATAGTCAGAAAACTAGTTTCAACTAATGAAATTCACTCTGACTGGTTTGTGATTTCTGCAGAAATGGACCTATTAGCTCTGCTGATTTTTGATATAGCCCATTAAAACATCGAAAATGAGCCACACTGTACATATTTTGATATATTAAATTTAACTTTATCTACACATCACTACAAAAAAGGCTTAAATCATGTATTACCTTACCTTTGACTTGCAACGATTTTCCCAAATTTAAAATATTAATCAAATGTTCTTGGGGCAGATGTAGTTCACCATGGTACATAAAAGTAACCACATATTGAAGATCTCTGAAGTTTACATTATCCAAGTAAATAATTGGATGGTCCCAATCTTGGTAGGCCTATTAAAAATAAGAATTTTCTAACATAATAGATCTGTTCCAACTGTTCTAGAACAGTAATTTCCAGTCAATTAATTAATTTGTCAACTAGGATAAACGTTCAACTTATTGGAAAATAGGTGGGCAACTGGAAAGTACTGGTTCTGGAACACAATTGGAACAAAGCTGATATTATTGAAATAATCATTTACCTTTAAAATACTGTCAAAATATTCACTGGACGCCGACAATATAAGTTTGTGAGCCTTAAGGCATTTCCCTTCACAAGACAAGGTAACATTGGCCAGACTTTCTTGCTCATAGAAATCCTGGATAACTTCCAGAAATTGTTTTGTGTGATTTTCCAATTCCAAGTGAAGTTTGCTGGAATCTTTGGTGCCCACCTCCGTTTCCATTTTGTATAGACTATTTTTTTTATAAATTAGTTAATTGTGCTTTGTAAAATTCACAAACATCTATTAGAATATAATAATAAATATACAAACAAGACAAATATAAAACGAAATTTTTTTGAAAATTAATTTTTACAGGTTAGGAAACTGTGCATTTCTCAGATAGGAAATGACAGTTGAAATGACATTAATGACTGTTTCAACAAAAAATAGAAAAATTACATGTAAACCCCCGCCCAAGTGGCTTCTATACTTCTATGGACAATGCACCTCACTTCACTTCACACTACTCATCTATTTACGGCTATGTTCCGTTATCAACTGCCCGTACTGGATTTTACTACTGTCGTTTGCCGTTCCGATTTCAACAGCGTACTGTAAAGGTACAGTAGAAAGAAGGTGATTTTAAAATCGCGATTCGACACACCAAACGACTTAACACGAGTCCCTATTCCCTGTCCACTAAATATTAATGACGTCACTGGCGGAGCATTCAAAACGATTATCAGTACTGGAATTAGTGTACTGAAAATAATATCGGAACGGCGTCCAGTAAATTCAGTACTGATATATCGGAACATATCCAATCTCGATATAATGTAGGTACATTTTTTGGAACAGAAAAATATAAAGGCGTTTTTTCGCGGAGCGAATAGTTCAAACTACGGTTTAATACCCGGTTGCACCGTCTCTCCTAACCAAGGCTTAAAGATAACTATTCCTTAAGACCTTAAAGTGACATTTTCCCATGCAAGACTGTCAATTTAAGGGATATTTAGGGAGGATTTTCATGCATCCGTTTTTCCGTCGAAATATGTCCGAAAAGTCTTCTATTTTGACATATTTATATACGATTATGTCAGAATAGAATGTTAAACGGACATATTTCGTCGGAAAAACGGATGCATGAAAATCCTCCCTTATCGTTAAGCCTCAGTTAAGAGAGACAGTGCAATCGGGCATAAATCAATTTGTAGATGACGTCATCACTGGTGCACGCGAGGAAATGGAAGGTTTAAACACAGCCTTATGTCAACAGAGAACAAACCAAGAGTCCGGTTCGAATTTTTTTGAACATCAATGTGACGTCACTAGTTCAACGCAAGAATATACAGGTTCGAACCGAATCGAATCGGATTGAGCCAGTTCCACCACGAGAAAATAGCTTAGATCTAACAATTATTACTCTACTTACTCTAAAAATCTTTTCTCTGGAAGAAAATTTTTTTTAGAGTAAGTCAATTTTCTGACTCTACTCCAACAGTTCGAATAACAACTCCAACAGCTCAGATTATTTTGAATAGAATTCTATTTTAGTAACTTCATTATTTATGATATTTCTATTTATCTTATGTCAAAACGAATAGAATTCTATTAATCGCAATTCCAAAACGGCAATTTAAAAACGCTACTCTTACTCAAGGAGAATACATTCTCCAAAGAGTGCTTATCGGCCTCGTTTTTGGTAATCGCCGCCATATTGGTTTTCAACTGTTTTCAACCATTGCCGACGTCATAACTAAGTCGTCAGCTGTTTGAACAGCCTACGTCAAGGTAAAAAACGCCATGCTGCTTACGTCACAACTGGTTGTTTAAAGTAGGGGGAAGGGGGGGATTTGTTATACACAGGCCTTATGAGGATAAGCCATCCTGTAGTAGTGGTGTGTATCATCCATGACTCTTACTATCAAAATTTTGACGTTAAAATCAATTCTTGCTCTAACAATTTATTACTCTATTTACTCTAAAAAAATCTTTTGTCTTGAAGAAAAACTTTTTTAGAGTGACTCCAGTTCAGTTCTAAGAACAATGTTCCGACTCTACTTCAACATTTCAAATATCTACTCCTAGAGCCTAAATTATTTTCGATAGAATTCTATTTTAGTAACTTCATTATTTCTGACATTTCCTTTATCTTACGACAAAACAAATAGAATTCTATTTATCGCGACTCCAAAGATGCAATCCGAAAACGATTCTCGTACTTGAAACTGTCAAATTTTGACGTTACAATCGATTTTAGCTTTGACAATTATTATTCTACTTACATTAAAAAATCTTTTCTTTTGAAGAAAAACTTTTTTAGAGTGACTTTAACAATATTTTGACTCTACTCCAACATTTCAAATATCTACTCCAAGAGCTCGAATTATTTTCAATAGAATTCTATTTTAAGAACTTCATTATTTTTGAAATTTCTATTTATTTTAAGTCAAAACAAATAGAATTCTATTTATCGCGACTCTCAAAAAGACAATCCAAAAACGCTACGCTTCTTGTTGTTCTTCTTGTTTTCTTATGGCTTTGCTACAAGGCAATTGCCAGAAACGCTACGCTTACTTGACACTTTATGAATGGAACTACTCTTTTTATACCGAACAAACGCCAAACGGTACCGAACCGATAACTCCAACTGTTCGATAATGGCTTTTTAGTGTAAATAAAGTAGTAGAGTACTCTATTTACTCTGTTTCAAATACTCATTTTGTTGAAGTATTACAGTCGTTTGAATTTTATTTTAGTACTGGGAGTGGGATCACAACAAGTAGAATTAGTTTCATGCAATGATGACAGTTACTAGGCAACCTGACGTCATGAAAGTAGAATTCTACTTGTCGTGATCCCAGTCTAGGCTTTTGAATCACATTTTATTTAGAAAAAGCATTCAAGAGTGTTTACGGAGTATTCAAAGTGAGCAAGTCGTTTGGAATAGTATTTTTTTTGACATCTTTTTATTCTGTTCGGGTTTTTAGAGTAAAGAGAGTGAAAAATCTTATTACTTTAACTACTCTATGTGTTCTTCTAATGTTCGAATCTGGTTATTTATAGAAAATGGAACTTTGTTTGTTGGGGTACAACTTTTAAAGTCTACTTTATTCACAATAAACTTACTCTTTTCACTATTAACATTGAGCTAACAAAATTAGAGTTAAAAGAGCATACTACAGAATCTCCTATATCTATATCAAAACTAATGAAATCGCCTAATACCGATTCAGAACAGTTTTTTAATCACTTTGGAGTAAAAAGAACAAACTTTTACAAGTGAGCCTGGAACAAAAAAGTCGGCAGCGCGTTTACGAATAATACTCCTTTTTGATTCTGTTTGGGTTAGAAGCAAGATTGAACATACTCCAAAGGTTTTATTTCACGAATGGTGGCAATTTTTGACAATTTTTACTCTGAAACATTTCGGGTTTGGGATTGGAGCAAATAGTGCAAGTTCCATATTTTTTATTGGAGTGAAAGAAGGCAAGAATACAGACGGAGTACTTGGAGTGAACAAGCCGGACTCACTTTGGTGTAGATTTCAGTTTTATAGTTGCACCAGAACAAATTTTTGGAGTAAACTCCATCTACTCCATTCCGCTAAATGTAAAAGTAGTTACACTTTTTATTGTAAAAAGCCGTGCTCAAATGGTTGAAGTAATAATTAGAGTGCAACAGTTCTTTCATGGTATTCTTTTTGAATTTACGGAGTAGTTGAAGTAAACAATCCAAATATAGTGCAACACTCTGTGTCACTTTCAACAACACTTTTTGCACGGTGAAATACAAATTATTCAAAACTGTTCAACTTGCACTCGCTTTCATAATCTAAAACTAAAAATTAAATATTTGTGGTTTTGTGACAGTTAGTGTAATCGAACTTCAAATATTTTGCACTAAGTTTGCTCCACGTAAATTCAAGTGTCGAAATTCAAATTAAAAATCCTAATTTTCAAAGTGGAATTTTTGGAGTAAGCTTTATTTACTCTACTCCGTATAACACTATCACTCTTTTTACTCTAAAAAGTCGTACGACCAAACGATTGGAGTAAATAGAGTGCACTGAACTGAATTAACAAACAGTTCGGGTGATACTTTGATTAAAAGAATCCTCAAACTTAAAACAATAATAGAATAGTTTGTAAAATTTTTGGGATTTGTGGGAGAAAATGTGACTGTTCTAAAATATACTGGAGTAAGTGCAAATGAGAACAACATAGAACAGTTTTGGAACTGTTTAGATCGACGATTCGGAGCAATCAAATCATCCCCAGAACAGTTTTAAATCCACTTCCGGTTCAAAGGTGTTTACTCTAGAACCATTCTAAAACAATTCAGAATAACTTCTAGCCTAAAATGTAGTGTTCTAGAGTAGGAAAAGTAATGAAAGAGTTCCAAAATAATGAGGAACTTAATTTATATAAAAATTCTGAGACAAACTATGACTGTTCCAGAACACAATGTATGTTCAGAGTTATTCTAAAACGATTCGAGAACGATGAAATCAGTCTTAAGCCTAGTACTCATAACTGCAAAATTCGCTCTTTTTTGACATTGCTTCGACAATTTGAAGTTTGATTCACGCATAAAACGTCAAATTTTCGAAGCAATGTCAAAAAGTGCGAATTTCGCAGTTATAAGTACAAGGCTTCAGCTAGACGGAACAATAACAGAACAGAGCTCACATTTTTCGAATTTGTAGGAGCCATCAAATCATCTCCGGACCAGTTCCAAATCCAATTTAAAAGCGTGGAGTGAATAGAGTAAGTTTATTTGTGTTCAGATATTGAATATGGAGTAAAAAAAAAACCCCTAGAAGTTCCATTTCTTTTCGACTTGGCATCACTTTTGATTTTGTTGGTCCTTTTCACTCCGGAGCCGTTTGGATCTGAATATTGGAGCGAATCGTGCAAACTTAATATCTCGTTCAGGAACAAATAGAGTACACGTAAAAGTAAATCCACTCCAATGAACCTGGCAATAGTCAACTTTATTCTATTAAACAACTGTTTTTTGATTCGGAATTCTTAGAGTAAGTTTCATTTGCATATGGTGCACGAAAATCCTAAATTAGTGTCCTCGATCACATTAGGAACTCATTTAGAACCGGTTCCAGATCATCTTAGAATTGATTTTTAGAGTGCCGACTGCTACAATTGCTGTTCCGAATTCGAAATAAACTAAACTGAACTATACTGGAGCACAATGATTGTTTGTAACTAATTAAAATCGGTTCCGAATACTGAAGTATTGAACTGGTTCACAATCGAGCAATCTTTAATTTGTGTTCCAGATCATTGTTCGTGGTGCAACTAGAATCACTTCCAAATCGGTTTTAGTGTTCTTAAACCCAAAAACCTGTTCCGAACTTGTTTGCCTTTATACTCTCCAATATTCAAACTCACTCTATTTACTTCAAAGAATTTAAAAAAATACAATCTTGAACGATTTGCTTACTCAGAGCATTCGAAATATGGCTAATAGAGTAATTATATTCATGTTTGAGTGTAAGGAGAGAAATAAATAAAACTTTTTAATGAATAAACCTACTCTATTTACTCTTAAACAGTAGTAAATGAGTAAACAGAGCTAAATTTAGAGCATTAAAACAAGAATCTCACACCAAATAGAGTAACTATTAACATTGCCCAATTAGTTTCGAATATAAAAAAAACCCACACTAGATCCAGAATCAGTGTTCTAGAAGCAACAATTAACAGAATTTGAGCAAAAAATGTCGATTGGAACTAAATTTCCTCTGCAAAATACGCAAACATTTACCTAAAATCTGTTTTTTTTTTAAAGATAATTCCCCAAGTTAAAAATTTAGTAACTATGTTGGCAACACAAGCCTTTTCTGCATTAAAAATTTAAATGCATTGACAATTTTGCTTCTAAGCACCGGAGCGAG